CTCCCTGCAGAGCAGGGAGCCCGATGTGGGGCTCAATCCCAGGACCCTGGGATCATGACCTGAGCCAAAGGCAGACGCTTAACGACTGAGCCACCCAGGCGCCCCAGTAGTAAACCTTTTTTAGTGTTGTGTTCTACTATGTCAGAGTCATCTGCATACAGGGCTAGTTGTGGTTAATCATGACTGAGTGAACTGTAGTACAGGAAAAGGATTAAGCTATAAAAATACTTAGTTTTGGTTGTGTTTGATTTGTTAAGTTCTTTTTTTCTTCTTATATTATAGATCAGCTTGAACGGGTCTTTTTACGACTTGGCCATGCTGAAACAGATGAACAATTACAGAATATTATATCTAAATTCCTTCCTCCTGTTTTGCTCAAACTGTCCAGCACCCAAGAAGGAGTACGCAAAAAGGTAAGCATGTTGGGACGGTTGGGGGAGTTAAATGGTGAGTAAATGGGTGTATATTATGAAGTGAGTTTTCTGTTCTCATTATTGAAATCTAGGTTCATGGTCTCATTATGGCCTTTCAAAATGGAGAGTGAGTCTGGGACCAGCTTACGTGACTTAAACGTAGCTTTTGTATGCTTAGCACAGCTGCATTTAGTGCCAGCCGTACACTTGGCCCCAGTGCCCGATGATAGAATTGAGATCGTTATTCCACATATGTGGAGGCTTGATCTAAAAGCCATGCCCTTGATTCCGATATGAAAGTCAGGTGGTAATGGGGCAAAAATATTCTTTAGCTTTGGCTGACTATGAATACAACTTTCATGAAAATTAAGCAAAATAATTTTTTTAAAAAGCAAGATACCGTACAGCTCCTGTTTTAGGATTCTGAAGTACTGTCACCAAAAGTTGGGTAACTATCACATCAAGATTTTTTTTTAAGGTTTTATTTATTATTTATTTTATTTTTGTTTATTTTTAATTTTTCAAGTTTTTATTTCAATTCCAGTTAGTTAACATACAGTGTAATATTACTTTAAGGTGTAGAGGTTTTTTTAATTATTATGTTCAGTTAGCCAACATATGGTACATCATTAGTTTTTGATGTAGTGTTCAACGATTCATTATTTATTTGAGACAGAGAGCGAGAGAGAGAAAGCACGAGCTGGTGGGGGGAGGGGCAGAGGGAGAGGGACAAGCAGACTCCCTGATGAGCATGGAGGGCTCGATCCCAGGACCCCAGGATCATGACCTGAGCCCAAGGCACAAATGCTTAACTGATTGAGCCACCCAGGTGCCCCAAGATTTTCTTTTTTTTTCTTTTAAGATTTTATTTTTAAGTAATCTCTACATCCAGTGTGGGGCTCGAACTCACAACCCTGATAAGAGTTGCATTCTCTACTGACTGAGCCAGCCAGGTGCCCCTCAAGATTTTCTTTTTTAACCTAAATGTTCTGCAGGGAACATTTGCCCCCTTCATTTTTAAAATAGTTCATTACTCTTCTGGTGTATTTATACTAGACCTTCAGGTCTTAGAGCTGTCATCAAGTTTCATCCCTTGGGCCACTGTGATTGATTGGAAATGGCTCCTTGGAGGTCTGCCCTGAGAGGGATTCTGAGGCCCAATTTGGGTTTATTGGACAAAGAGTCTCTTTAAGAACATCTGTTATGTTTGCAGGAAGAGACAGGACTTTCTCATCAGGTATTTGACATGCCTGTTGTTAACACTGCTTTGCTGAACACATATGTATTTGATCCTGTCACTGTCCTATTTAAAACTCCTCTGTGGCTTTCTGTTACCCTCAGGAGAGCAAGTTATACTAAAAGGCCCCTCATGAGTTCGTTTCTGCTAGGTAACTAGCAGAATTCACGCTAGTGAATGAAAGAAACATCTAGTTGGGGAGACTGGTATTAAACAGTCAGACAGATAGTATCCAGTTATAAATTGTAATAAGTGCCAAGATAGAAAAGGATCTTTGAAAGAATATATTTGAGGACTTGATTTAAACTGAATGTGGGGCATAAGGAAGGCCTCTGTGGTGTGTAGGAAGTAGCCAGACAGAGAGATGGGAAGACCATGTAAGATACAGCAGGCCCTGTGTGGATGTTCTGAGCTAGAACAGTGTGGGACGACTTCAGGGACCTGAGGGCCACCCAGTGCACCCAGTGATAGGAGTGATAGGTGGTCAGGCTTTGGGGAGAGGAAACAGGGACGCCAGTGGGCAGCAATTTGAAAGCTCATGTACACATAATTTCAATGTGTGAAATTTTGTGATTGATGAAAACTTGTATTGATTTTCAGTTGTGTAATTTTTGGGTTCCTAACTATCAGTGTCATGATGCACATTAGACTTAAGCAGGATACCCTGCAAGGGTAGGTGGTAATTTGTGGATAAATTGAGTGAAAGAGAAATAAAAGTTTTAGATTTCTAGTGACATATCATTAGAGTATATTTGCTATTTTAAGGAAAACAAGGTTTGTTATGTAGAATTTTACTTCATAGCCAACTTTAAATGTAGGCTGTCATTAGAATATCTAAAATTAAAGACTGCCCATACCACATACTGACAAGGTTGGACTGGAACTCTCACAGACTGCTGGTAGGTGTGTAAATTAGTATAACCATTTTGGAAAACTGTTTGGAAATACTCGAAAGCTTATCCTATGCGTACTCCATGACGCATATCCAGTCCTGAGTTCATATATAACAGAATTATGTATATATGTGCACTAAAAGCATATCTAAGAATGTTCATAGCAGCATTATTGGTAATAGCCCAAACTGGAAATAATCTCATGTCTGTCAGTAGGAGAGTGGATAAATGACGGGATCTCCTTACTAGAGCAGTGAAAGTGAACTGCTGCTATGAACAGCAGCATGGGTGAGTCCCAGATACGATGGCAAATAAGGTGAACTCGTGTCTGAATGTTTTATGTGTTCCATTTACAGAAATTTAAAAATGGTGTTCGAGGAATGCCTGGGTGGCTCAGTCGTTAAGCGCCTGCCTTCGGCTCAGCTCATGATCCCAGGGTCCTGGGATCGAGTCCTGCATGGTGTGTGTGTGGGGGGGGTCCTTGCTCAGCGGGGAGTCCACTCCTCCCTCCCCTCGGTCCCTCCGTCTCCCTCTGCCCCTTCCCCAGCTTGTGCTCTCTCTCGCTCACACTCTCTCTCCAATAAATAAATAAAATCTTTAAAAAAATGGTGTTCGAAGTCAGGATAGTGGTAACTTTTGGGGAAGAGGGGTTAGTGAGTGGAGGGGCATGGGGTAGACAGGGCTTTTGTGGTTCCAGGTGTGCTTACTCTATGAAAATTTATTGGGCCATGCACTCTCAATTGTACACTTTAGTTATGTTTTATACTTCAATTAAAAAGCTTATTAATGAATAAATGAATTATAAATACATGAGTAGTAAGAACTGATACAGACAAGATACTGTATACCTGAGGCTGGTGATTCTGTAGGTTTACTGATTATTGTCCATGGGGAAGGTTGGTTTGGTTGATTTTTTTGGTAATGTTTATTTATTTATTTACTTATTTTTTTTAAGATTTTTATTTATGTATTTGACAGAGAGAGAAATAGCAAGAGAGGGAACACAAGCAGGGGGGTGGGAGAGGGAGAAGCAGACTTCCCGCTGAGCAGGGAGCCCGATGCGGGGCTTGATCCCAGTACCCTGGGATCATGACCTGAGCCGAAGGCAGACGCTTAACGACTGAGCCACCCAGGTGCCCCTGTTGTTTATTTAAAGTAAGAAAAAATTATCATAAAAAGAAAGTGTGTGATTGTGCGCATGATTGTCACTAATAATGATTTCCCATAGAGCTCTGCCAGGACTCAGTCTAGATTAGATTGTCAGATGAGGGCTGTTTCTTGAGCCTGGTTCCTCCTGATTCTTTTCTCCGTCAGTCAGCTGTATCTTAGGTCTGGACAGCTAGGAAGTTGAGATGAGTATGTGTGGTAATGCAAGTTTCTAGGTCTCTGTAAGGTATATTAGTGGTTCCAAGGATGTCTCATGGTGACAGACACTTCAGATGAATTGAGCTCGACTGTCAGTGTTGGAATCAGATTTTTACTATGCCACCTGGTGGCTCAGTGTCCTAGGACAAGTTACTTCAGTCCCCTGAGCCTCTGCTTCCTCACCTGTGAAATGGGAATGACAATACCGTCTCTCTGGTTGTGAGAATCAGATAGGAAATGCAGAGTGCTATGCAGAGGTGTGTTCTGTACAGAAACTGTTTGATAAATGCCAGCTATTTCATTATTCATTAAACAGACATAGATTATACTTTTTTTTTTTTAAAGATTTTATTTATTTATTTGCGAGAGAGACAATGAGAGACAGAGACCATGAGAGGGAGGAGGGTCAGAGGGAGAAGCAGACTCCCTGCCGAGCAGGGAGCCTGATGCGGGACTCGATCCCGGGACTCCAGGACCATGACCTGAGCCGAAGGCAGTCGCTTAACCAACTGAGCCACCCAGGTGCTCCTGTTTTTTTTTTTTTAAGATTTTTATTTATTTGACAGAGAGAGAGATAGCAAGAGAGGGAACACAAGCAGGGGGATTGGGAGAGGGAGAAGCAGGCTTTGTTGTTGTTATTAAAATTCACATTTCATTATTGCTCTAGATTCACTTGAACTTTTGTTGTTGCCAGGGATAGTCCTACAATTCTATTTATTTTTTAAAAGATTTACTTAATTTTAAAATTTATTTATTTGAGAAAGAGCAAGAGAGAGCGAGCACGAGCAGGGTGAGGGACAGAGGGAGAAGCAGACTCCCCACTGAGCAGGGAGCCTGACATGGGGCTCCATTCCAGGACTCTGGGATCGTGACCCCTGAAGGCAGACGCTTAACCGACTGAGCCACCCAGGTGCCCCTATTTATTTATTTTAGAGAGAGAGAGAGAGTGTGCCCAAGCAAGCACGCAAGTGGGGGGAGGGGCAAAAGGAAAGGGGCAAGTAGACACCCTGTGGAGCACAGAGCCCCACACAGGGCTCGATCCCACCACCCTGAGATCATGACCTGAGCCAAAATCAAGAGTTGGACGCTTAACTGACTGAACCACCCAGGTGCCCCTCTATAACTCTCTTTAATACTTGCTTTGAAGCTAGAGCACACATTTTAGAAATGATGGAGAACAGTATAGGCCTGGCCCTCCAGAACAGATACCTTAAATCCTTGAGTCTTTCTCAGGTGAGGCTTTCTAAAAATGTTATTTTTCTTTTCTTTTTTTTTTTTAAGATTTTATTTATTTGAGAGCGATTTATTTATTTATAGAGCGAGAGAGAGGCACAAGCAGGGAGGAGGGCCAGAGGGAGAGGGAGAAGCAGGCTCCCTGCCGAGCAGGGAGCCCGACATGGGGCTCGATCCCAGGACCTGGAGATCATGACCTGAGCCGAAGGCAGGCGCTTAACCGACTGAGCCATCCAGGCGCCCCTAAAAATGTCATTTTTCAATGCTCAGTTTCTCACTTCTCTCGTAGCAAGATAATCTCACTCTTAGAGTAAGATTGGGGCCATTTGACGTAAGCTTCTGGATTTTGCTTTCCACCCATGGGAATTATTGACTTGCAGATCTCCTCTTTTCCCACTTGAAGGAGAGGAAGCTTGTTATTACTTGTATTGCTTTAGTAGAATCAGATGATCTTCAGAATAAAGCAAAAATTCTCCATCATTTTACCTGAGTCCTTTTATAATCTGGGCTCTTCTTTTATCTCTCATCACTCTGTGTGTCAGTCACATGCAGTATGTTATATTCTTTTAGTCCTCATTCCTTCTTATAACTGATTCTCTGCTTGGAAATTCATCTGGTTGTCAGGATTCAGTGTTCTGTCACTTCCTCCCTAAGTCCTCCTTGATCTGGCAGAGTCTTTTCTGGAAACCCACAGTATGTCGTCTGTTTCTCATATTGTCACATTCACGGTGTGTCTTTGTCCGTTTGGGCTGCTGTAACAGAAGGCCACAGACCGGGTGACTTGAACAGCACTTTATTTCTCAGCATTCCGGAGGCTGGGAGTCTGAGGTCAGGGTGCCAGCATGTCGGGTTCCTCATGGAGGGACCTTCCTGGTTGACAGGGCAGCCTCTCTGCTGCATCCTCATGAGGGGAAGAGACAGGACTCTAATCCCTTCATCCCCTTATTAGGACACCAGTCTCATCGTGGGGGCTCCACCCCCATGACATTAGCCAAAACTAAGTATCTCCTAAAACCATCAAACTGGGGATTAGGGCTTCAACAGATGCGTCTTGGGGAAACACAAACATTCCACTCGTGGCATGGTGTGTTGCAGTCATTTTATTCACAGGGGTCCTGGGGGGCTGTGCCTCAGTGTAGGCTCACGCAGGATCCCAGCTTTGGGGGACACAGCATTTTGGAACAAGACCCTGATACTGTAAATTCCCTTTCAGGGATGTCACATTTATGTCCTTGAAAAAAACAAAGTAGCTGCTATTCATCAAATTAAATAGTGGTTGAGAAATGAATTTGTTTTAAAGGAATCAATAATTTCAGTTCATATCTTTCTGTATCTTAGGTAATGGAACTGCTGGTCCATCTGAATAAGCGTATAAAAAGCCGCCCCAAAATACAGCTCCCGGTAGAGACACTGTTGGTTCAATACCAGGACCCTGCTGCAGTTTCCTTTGTCACAGTGAGTGTTTTCTTGGCATATTTCTGACTTACAGTGAATTTTCTCTCCTAACATTTATTAGATGTCATCAGTATATGGGCAGGTTTAGAATTTCACCTCAGACTAATTCTAAATGAAACAGGAGGTGTTTTTCTTCAGATGACACACGTTTTTTCCACTGAAGTGGTAGGTGCGGGATAAGGCATGGTCGTTTACATCGGGCACAGGAAGGCTGGTGAAATGACTCCTCAGGTTTGCTGATATAAAGGAAGGATTTGATTCGTAGTAAAAGGTTGTACGAGGCCAGTCTGAACAGAGAGAAGGCAGAGTTATGCAGCATGGGCATGAATAAACAATAAGAGAAGGAGGAAAGAAAGGGCAACTGTCAAGGATAGGAAGCTGAATTTTAAAAAATTCTGTCTCTGATACATTCAGAAAGGTATGCTCTTTAAAAGTGAAGTAACTGAGCCTGGTAAGAAATGTTCCTCTTAAGTTGTCATCTTCATGAAATGGAGCTGTATAAAAATGTTGATGTCCTGTGATGTCACATGTTTTTTTTGTGGCCCTGTTGCTCCTAGCATTGAGGTTCAATCTGTTGAGTATTATCTAACATCTGGGTTCCAAACCTTTGGAGCCACCTACTGGTGCAGAGATCTTTTCTGTGCCTGCTCTGGACGTACAGCTTCATTACAGAAGCTCCTACTGCAAGCAGAGAGAAACACTGTGTGCCAAAAAAACTGCCAAATAGAATGTCTCCCAAAGAATAACCTTATGAGGCCTATTCTGAAGTGAAGAATCCTTTTAGAAAAGCCAATTTTTGTCTTATGCATAGATCCAGATATGCATTTATGAATTTGTTTAGAATGAAGCATTCATATGGATTCTAGTGATAGAAAAATACCCACAGCACTCAGTTTCCCTTGGTTCATCATCCATTGGTCAGTTACCGGAACGAGGAACCAGAGTACTGCCATAAGGCGGCTGTAGGAACTGACTGGTTGGGAAATGGCAGCCTAGGATTTCACAGGTGGTCTCCTCTTTGCGTGAAAGGATTAGTGTAACAAGCTGGGAGCTCTGATGCTAATGTGTAGTATGTAGGTTCAGATGGGCCAAATAATGACTTTTTCTTTTCAGCGAAAATTGCATATTTGCGTGCTTTTATCCCCCCCAACTTTATTGAGGCATAATTGACAAAATTGTATATATTTAAAGTGAAAAAACATGAAGTTTGATATATGTATGCATGAGTGCTTTAGATTAGGTCATGCTCTCTCACATTAAGTACATCTTAAAGCAAACATTTTGAATAAGTAGGGCTGGAATTCTTCCTGAGATGTCATAGTTGAAGCTGTAATAAATAAACATGTGATAAATTTATGGAGAGAGAATGTGATTTCTTTGTTATAACGTATCTCCCTAAGTTATCAACCATGTGTTTTCATTGAAATCCTAGAATATTTCCTTCACGCTCACTTGCTTTTCTCTCGTGTTAGAATTTTACTATAATTTATGTTAAGATGGGCTATCCTCGCCTGCCAGTGGAAAAACAATGTGAACTGGCCCCTACGCTTCTTACTGCCATGGAAGGGAAGCCTCAGCCACAGCAGGATAGGTATGGTGTCCTCAATTACCTTCTCTCCCACCTGCATGAGTCAACAGCTACCTCTCAAACACAGAGTCACACATTTGGTTTTACTTGGGCTAATGTGAAGGCTTGAGCTCTTTCAGCTGACAGATGATTGAATTTTCTGTGTCACCTCAATGTTACTGTTTTGGTAATTATCAAATTTCTTGATGCAAGCGTGTTAAAATGTGTGCAGAACTAACAACATGTTTCTCAATCTAGATGCATTTATTTTGTCAATTATTTTGAAGAGGCTAATTTCATGTGATTGCACAAATTAGTCATAAAGTGCTTTTCATCAAAACATTTCTGTCTTGGAGCATATGAAGTTTTAGAGCAGTTTTAAGGAACAGATCACTTGTTTATATTAATATGGGCATTGGAGGGGTGAAAAGGTTTGGATAACACCCTTAGTTTCAGATTTGGCTCAAAGTTCTGTAGTGTAGCCTGGTCATGGTGAGCATCATCAGGAAGAGTGCAGAAGCTGTGGAGGGAAGGTGGAGGTAAATGATGGTTTTACTTTGCTTTTTTAGAGCAC